CTCCTAAACCACTCTGGGACCACCCTGGGACCACCCTGGAACCTCCTAAACCACCCTGGGACCACCCTGGGACCCCCTGGGACCCCCCAGGACCACCCTGGGATCCCCTGAGACACCCTGGAACCCTCTGAGACCACCCTGGGACCCCCTGAGACACCCTGGAACCCTCTGAGACCACCCTGGAAGCCCCTAAAACCCTCTGGGACCACCCTGGGACCACCCTGGGACCCCCTGAAATCCCCTAAAACACCCTGGGACCCTCCTGGGACCCTCCTGGGACCCCCTGGGACCCCCTGAAATCCCCTAAAACACCCTGGGACCCTCCTGGGACCCTCCTGGGACCCCCTGGGACCCCCTGGGATCCCTCTGGGACCACCCTGGAACCCTCCCAGACCCCTCCAAGACCCCCCCTCAGGACCCCCACTTCCCCTCAGCCCCCAAGACACCCCCAGGACCCCATTTACCCCTAGACCTTACCTAAGACCCCCCCAGACCACCCCAGGACCCTCATTTCCCCAGGACCCCCCGAAGCCCCCAGACCCCCAAGACCCCTAAACCCCTTTCCCCCCAGGGTGCAACAGGAGAGTTGGATCCGAGCCAAGCACGTGGAAAAGAAATTCCTGAGGGGCTCCCAGGAGGGGGAGGGGGAGGGGAGGGTCCCTCAAGCCCCCGCCCACCACGCCAAGGCCCCGCCCCCCGCGCTGGCCCCGCCCCAGCCCGGTCCCGCCCATCGTGGGACCACAAATGCAGGTAGGGGGAGAAAGGGGGGCGGGGCTTTGGAAGGGGCGGGGCTTTGGGAAGGGGCGGGCCTCGCGGTAAAGGGGCGGGGCTTGAGGTGGAAGGAGTGGGGCTTGAGGAAGTAAATGGGTGTGGTTTGGGGGTAAATGGGTGTGGTTTGGGGTAAATGGGTGTGGTTTGGGGGTAAATGGGTGTGGTTTGAGGTAAAGGGGAGGGGCTTGGGGTAAAGGGGTGTGGTTGGGGGTAAATGGGTGTGGTTTGGGGTAAATGGGTGGAGTTGGGGGTAAATGGGCGTGGCTTGGGTAAAGGGGTGTGGATGGATGTGAAGGGGAGGGGTTTGGGGTAAATGGGTGTGGTTTGGGGGTAAATGGGTGTGGTTTGATGTGAAGGGGAGGGGCTTGGGGTAAATGGGTGTGGTTTGAGGTGAAGGGGAGTGGCTTGTGTAAATGGGTGTGGTTTGGGGTAAATGGGCATGGTTTGAGGTGAAGGGGAGGGGCTTGGGGTAAATAGGTGTGGTTTGTGGGGTAAATGGGTGTGGTTTGGGGTAAAGGGGAGGGGCTTGGGTAAATGGGTGTGATTTGGGGTTAAATGGGTGTGGTTTGGGGTAAAGGGGAGGGGCTTGGGGTAAATGGGTGTGGTTTGGGGTAAATGGGTGTGGTTTGATATAAATGGGCGTGGCTTGGGGAAATGGGTGTGGCTTGGGGTAAATGGGTGTGGTTTGGGGTAAAGGGGAGGGGTTTGGGGTAAAGGGGAGGGGCTTGGGGTAAATGGGTGTGGTTTGGGGGTAAATGGGTGTGGTTTGGGGGTAAATGGGTGTGGTTTGAGGTGAAGGGGAGGGGCTTGAGTAAATGGGTGTGGTTTGGGGGTAAATGGGAGGGGTTTGGGGTAAATGGGTGTGGTTTGATATGAAGGGGAGGGGCTTGGGTAAATGGGTGTGGTTTGAGGGGTAAATGGGTGTGGTTTGGGGTAAATGGGTGTGGTTTGAGATAAATGGGAGGGGCTTGGGTAAATGGGTGTGGTTTGGGGTAAATGGGTGTCGTTTGGAGTAAATGGGCGTGGCTTGGGTAAAGGGGTGTGGTTTTATGTGAAAGGGAGGGGCTTGGGGTAAATGGGTGTGGTCTGGAGTAAAGGGGAGGGACTTGGGGTAAATGGGTGTGGCTTGGAGTAAATGGGTGGGGTTTGGGGTACAAGGGTGTGGCTTAGGGTAAAGGGGAGGGGCTTGGGTAAATGGGTGTGGCTTGGGGTAAAGGGGAGGGGCTTGGGCAAATGGGCGTGGCTTGGGTAAATGGGTGTGGTTTGGGGAAATAGGTGTGGTTTGGGGTAAATGGGTGTGGTTTGGGGTAAATGGGTGTGGTTTGATGTAAATGGGTGGGGCTTGGGGTAAATGGGTGGGGCTTGGGGTGAATGGGTGTGGTTTGGGGTAAATGGGAGGGGCTTGGGGTAAATAGGTGTGGCTTGGGGGTAAATGGGTGTGGTTTGGGGTAAATGAGTGTGGTTTCAGGTAAAGGGGAGGGGCTTGGGGTAAATGGGTGTGGTTTGGGGTGAAGGGGAGGGCTTGGGGTGAATGGGTGGGGCTTGGGGTAAATGGGTGTGGTTTGATGTGAAGGGGAGGGGCTTGGGGTGAATGGGTGGGGCTTGGGGTAAATGGGTGTGGTTTGGGGTAAATGGGTGTGGTTTGAGGTGAAGGGGAGGGGCTTGGGGTAAATGGGTGTGGTTTGTGGGGTAAATGGGTGTGGTTTGGGGTAACGGGGAGGGGTTTGAGTAAATGGGTGTGGTTTGGGGTAAATGGGTGTGGTTTCAGGTAAAGGGGAGGGGCTTGAGTAAACAGGTGTGGTTTGGGGTAAATGGGTGGGGCTTGGGGTAAATGGGTGTGGTTTGGGGTAAATGGGCGTGGCTTGGGTAAATGGGTGTGGTTTAGGTAAAGGGGAGGGGCTTGGTTTAATGGGTGTGGTTTGGGTAAAGTGGAGGGGCTTGGGGTAAATGGGTGTGGTTTGGGGTAAATGGGTGTGTTTTGGGGTAAATGGGTGTGGTTTGAGGTGAAGGGGATGGGCTTGGGTAAATGGGTGTGGTTTGGGGTAAATGGGTGTGGTTTGGAGTAAATGGGCGTGGCTTGGGTAAAAGGGTGTGGTTTGGGGTAAATGGGTGTGGTTTGGGGTAAATGGGCGTGGCTTGGGTAAATGGGTGTGGTTTGGGGTAAATGGGTGTGGTTTGGGGTTAAATGGGTGGGTCTTGGGGTAAATAGGCGTGGCTTGGGTAAATGGGTGTGGTTTAGGTTAAAGGGGAGGGGTTTGGGGTAAAGGGGAGAGGCTTGGGTAAGTGGGTGTGGTTTGGGGTAAATGGGCGTGGCTTGGGTAAATGGGTGTGGTTTGGGAGATAAATGGGAGGGGTTTGGGTAAATGGGTGTGGTTTGGGGTAAATGGGTGTGGTTTGGGGTGAATGGGAGGGGCTTGAGTAAAAGGGCGGGGTTTGGTCATGAAGGGGTGTGGCTCATGCTATGAAGTGGGCGTGGTCAGCCAACATAATGGGCGTGGCTAACACATCAAGCACCTCCCACCAGAGGAGAGTGGCGTGTCATTTCACGAGTGGGCGTGTCTTTAGCCACATGGGCGTGGCCTCCTCACCCAGTGGGCGTGGCTTACACACTGAACCACCTCCCACCAGCAGGGAGGCTTCGTGGCGGGGTGGGGGGCGTGTCTTGACCAACGTGGGCGTGTCTCACGCTCCGTGGGCGTGTCTCACATTCCGTGGGTGTGTCTCATGCTCCGTGGGTGTGTCTCACATTCCGTGGGCGTGTCTCACACTCTGTGGGTGTGTCTCACGCTCCGTGGGTGTGTCTCATGCTCCGTGGGCGTGTCTCACATTCCGTGGGCGTGTCTCACATTCCGTGGGTGTGTCTCACGCTCCGTGGGCGTGTCTCACATTCCATGGGCGTGTCTCACATTCCATGGGCGTGTCTCACGCTCCATGGGCGTGTCTCACACTCCGTGGGCGTGTCTCACATTCCGTGGGCGTGTCACGTGCTCCGTGGGCGTGTCTCACGCTCTGTGGGCGTGTCTCACATTCCGTGGGCGTGTCTCACACTCCGTGGGCGTGTCTCACGCTCCATGGGCATGTCTCACACTCCGTGGGCGTGTCTCACATTCCGTGGGCGTGTCTCACGCTCCGTGGGCGTGTCTCACATTCCGTGGGCGTGTCTCACATTCCGTGGGCGTGTCTCACATTCCGTGGGTGTGTCTCACGCTCTGTGGGTGTGTCTCACACTCCGTGGGCGTGTCTCACATTCCGTGGGTGTGTCTCACGCTCCGTGGGCGTGTCTCACACTCTGTGGGCGTGTCTCACGCTCCGTGGGCGTGTCTCACACTCCGTGGGCGTGTCTCACATTCCGTGGGCGTGTCACGTGCTCCGTGGGCGTGTCTCACATTCCGTGGGCGTGTCTCACATTCCGTGGGCGTGTCTCACGCTCCGTGGGTGTGTCTCACGCTCTGTGGGTGTGTCTCACACTCCGTGGGCGTGTCTCACATTCCGTGGGTGTGTCTCACGCTCCGTGGGCGTGTCTCACATTCCGTGGCCGTGTCTCACATTCCGTGGGTGTGTCTCACGCTCCGTGGGCGTGTCTCATGCTCAGTGGGCGTGTCTCACACTCCGTGGGCGTGTCTCACATTCCGTGGGCATGTCTCACACTCCGTGGGTGTGTCTCACGCTCCGTGGGCGTGTCTCACATTCTGTGGGCGTGTCTCATGCTCCGTGGGCGTGTCTCATGCTCTGTGGGCGTGTCTCACATTCTGTGGGCATGTCTCACGCTCCGTGGGCGTGTCTCACATTCCGTGGGTGTGTCTTACGCTCCGTGGGCGTGTCTCACACTCTGTGGGTGTGTCTCACGCTCCGTGGGCGTGTCTCACATTCCGTGGGCGTGTCTCACATTCCGTGGGCGTGTCTCACGCTCCGTGGGCGTGTCTCACACTCCGTGGGTGTGTCTTATGCTCCGTGGGCGTGTCTTATGCTCCGTGGGCGTGTCTCACGCTCCGTGGGCGTGTCTCACACTCCGTGGGCGTGTCTCACGCTCCGTGGGCGTGTCTCACATTCCGTGGGCGTGTCTCACACTCCGTGGGCGTGTCTCACACTCTGTGGGTGTGTCTCACACTCCGTGGGTGTGTCTCATGCTCCGTGGGCGTGTCCTGAAGCTCTGCCCCCCTCCCCCCAGACCCCCCTGAGCCCGAGGGCGCCCCCTGCCTGCACCCCGGGGCCCTGCTGTTCTGGGCCGCCCGGCGATGCCGCTTGCCCACCATGGCTGATGCTCTGGCCCACGGAGCCGACCCCGGCTGGGTCAACGGCGCCGACGACAACCGGACCCCCCTGCTCGAGGCCGTGGCCGCGGTAACCCCAGGGCGTTTTTGGGGGGGGGGGTGGAGGAGCACTGAGGGAGCACCTCAAGGTGCTGGTGGGTGGGAGTGTGGGGGGATGATGTCCTTAATCCTGCCCCCCGTTTTTTCTCCCCCCCATCCCAAAAGAATTCCCTGCTGGCCTGCGAGTTCCTGCTGCAGAACGGGGCCAGCGTGAACCAGAGCGACAACCGCGGGCGGGGCCCGCTGCACCACGCCACCATGCTGGGGCACACTGGGTGAGGCCTGGGCACCAACTGGGGGGGCTCTTGGGGGGCTCCTGGAGGATCCTGAAGGGGAGAGGGGGGCGCCCCAAATCCCACCCCCATGTGGGTCAATGGTGGCGGCCCCCACCCCTAAGGTGGATGTGGGGGAAGCTCAGCAGGGTCTGCCCCGTTTGAGGCCTGGATGGGTGACCCAAAGTAAATCATTTCATGGGGATTAACCCCTTTTTTTTAAGGGGGGGTGTCTGTGAGCTTTGTGGGGGTCCCTAAATCTTTTGGGGGACACTCCTGCTTACTTTTGGGGGTTCATATTCTCTTCCAAGGGGTCTCATTCTCTTGGGGGTCTCCCTGTTCTGTTTGTTGCGGGGTGTTCCTGTTCCCTACTGGGGAGTTTGCTATTCCTTGCTGGGGATCCCTATTCCCCTTTTGGGGGGGTCCCTCTTCCCTTTGGGGGTGTTCCTGTTCCATTTGGGGGGGGGGGCACCCCAAATCCCACCCCCATCTGGGCCAATGGTGGCGGCCCCCACCCCTAAGGTGGTTGTGGGGAAGCTCAGCAGGGTCTGCCCCAGTTGAGGCCTGGATGGGTGACCTGAACTGAATCATTTCATGGAGGACCACCTCTTTTTTTAAAGGGGGGGTCTACAAGCTTTGTGGGGGCCCCTAAATCTTTTTTGGGGGCACTCCTGCTTACTTTTGGGGCTTCATACTCCCTTCCAAGGGGTCTCATTCTCTTGGGGGTCTCCCTGTTCTGTTTGTCAAAGGGGGTTCCTGTTCCCTACTAGGGAGTTTGCTATTCCTTGCTGGGGGTCCCTCGTCCCTTTTGGGGGCCTCTGTTCCCTTTTGGGGGATCCTTAATCCCTTTTAGGGGTCTCTAATCCCTTTTGTGGCCATTCCCTATTCCATTTTGGGGGGCTCTTATTGGAGAGGACCCCCATTTTCTTTGGGGTGGGGGGGGAGTGGTCTCTATTCCCTTTTTTTGGGGGGTGGGGGTCTCTCTTCCATCAGTGGCGCTTCCTATTCCCTCCTTGAGACCTCTTTTGGGGGTCCCCATTCCCTTTTTTTGGGGGTCTCTCTCCCATTTTGGGGTGCAATTCAACCCCCAAACCCCCCTAAAATCTCCCTTTTTTGGGGAGTGGTCCCAGCCCAGTTTCCCCCTCTCCGAAGCTCAGCAGGCCCCGCCCCGGTCAGGACCTGGATGGGTGACCCCAACCCTTCCTCACGCCCCTTGAATCCCGGGTACCCCAAACCCTTCTAAACCCCCCCTGAACCCCCAAAACCCCTCTAAAATGTGGGACCCCCCCCCAAATTCCAGCCTGGCCTGCCTGTTCCTGAAACGGGGGGCTGACGTCAACGCCGTGGACGCCGAGGGGAAGGACCCCCTGAGCATCGCCATGGACTTGGCCAACGCCGACATCGTCACCCTGTGAGACCCCGGGGTTTGGGGGTTTGGGGAGCTTGGGGAGGGTCTTGGAGGGGTCACCCGTTTTCACACCCTCCCCCACCCTCCCCAGGCTGCGTTTGGCCAAGATGAGGGAGCTGGAGGTGGCTCAGGGACAGACTGGTGAGGGTTTTTGGGGGAGGTCTCTGGGATTTAGGGGGTGGGCATTGGGTTTTGGGGGGTCCTGGGGGAGGATCAGGGTGGATTTTTAGGGGTGCTGGGGTGGGTTTGGGGGTTTCTCTGCCCTGAGAGACCTGGAGGGGTCTCAAGTTTTAGGGGTCTTTGTAGGGGTGGGGAGGGGGGAGATGTCTCTGGGATTTGGGGGTCCTGGGGAGGGTCAGGGGTGAGTTTTTGGGGGGTTCTGGGGTGGGTTTGGGAGTTTCTCTGACCCTAGAGAGAGCTGAGAAGGGGAGATCCAAGTTTTGGGGAGGGTCCTGAAGTTTTTGGGGGGTCCTTAAGTTTGAGGGGAACAATTTTTTTTTTTGGGGGTCCCCTCATTTTGGGAGTCCTGAGAAGGATCGAGTGGCTTTTTTTTGGGGGGTGGGATGGTTTTGGGGCTCCCCAATTTTGGGGAGAGGGTTCCCAATACAAATTTTGGGGGGAGGGGTTGGGCTGACCTCGAGGGGGTCCTTGGAGGGCTCCCCGCGTTTGAGGGACCCCTATGTGGGGGGAAGAGGGGCAGCCCAATTTTGGTTTTTTTTTTTTTTAGGGGATCCTGGATTTTGGGGGTCCTTAAGGGAATTTTAAAGGGGAGGGTCCCTAATTTGGTCCCTCCCCCAAGGTGACGACACCTACCTCGACATCTTCCGGGACATCTCCCTGATGGCCTCGGATCACCCCGAAAAACTCGCCAGGCCCCCCCCAAAACACCCCACCCTTTAGCCACGCCCCCTCTGCTCAGGCCACGCCCCTCAAAGGGAAAGCCACGCCCCCTCCTCACAGGCAGCTCCCGATGGAATAAAGGATCGGTTTGAGTTTGGATTTGGGGTTCACACGGAGGGTTCTAGAGCGGCTTTGGGGGGCTCGGGGGGGTTCTCGGGGCTGTCAGGGGTGGGGGTGGGGTTGTGGACCCCCTGGAGGAGGGTGAGGAGGAGGAGGGTCCCAGCCAGGAGGAAGGCGCCGGCGGTCAGGAAGGACACGGTGAAGTCGCCGGTGAGGTCGCGCAGCCAACCTGCCAAAAATGGAGCTCTTGGGTGGTCTAGAACCCCTAAAGACCCCCAGACCACCCACTGGGCTTTGGGTGCCCCCCAGGGTGGGTTCTGGGTCACCCAATACCCCACAAGATTCCCTTGTCCCCCCAATGGGGCCCCCTCCCATCATGCCCTTGACCAACCCCGTGGTGGGTTCTAGGTCATCCAACACCCCCAACTCAACCCCCACCCCCAACTCAACCCCCTACCCCCAACTCAATCCCCACCCACCTCACTGACCGCCCCCGTGGAGGTTCTAGATCACCCAACACCCACAACTCAACCCCCACCTCCCAATTCAACCCCCACCCCAACTCAATCCCCACCCACCCCCTGACCACCCCTCGTGGTGGGTTCCAGATCACCAACGGGACCCCACCCACCCAGATCACCCAATGGGACCCCACCCACCCCTGACCACCCAACATCCCCACCCCTAAATCAATCCCCACCCCTAATTCAACCCCACCCACCTCCTGACCACCCCTGGTGGGTTCCAGATCACCCAACACCCCCAACTCAACCCCCACCCCCAACTCAATCCCCACCCACCTCCTGACCACCCCCTGGTGGGTTCCAGATCACCCAATGGGACCCCACCCACCCAGATCACCCAATCCCCCTCCCACAACCTCCACCCCCAATTCAACCCCCACCCACCTCCTGACCACCCCCATGGTTGGTTCCAGATCCCCTAACACCCCCAACTCAACCCCCACCCCTAAATCAACCCCCCACCCCTAAATCAATCCCCCCACCCCCAACTCAATCCCCACCCACCTCCCTGACCACCCCTCGTGGTGGGTTCCAGATCACCCAATGGGACCCCACCCACCCCTCTGACCACCCAACACCCCCACAACCCCCAGCCCCCAATTCAACCTCCACCCACCCTCTGACCACCCAGCACCCCACAACCCCCCAGCCCCCAACTCAGACCCCACCCACCTCCTGACCACCCCCATGGATGGTTCCAGATCCCCAAACCCCCAACACCCCCAACACCCCCAAGCCCTCCCCCAAACCCCCGTACCAGCCAGGGGCGCCCCAGCAGCGACCCCGCGCCTCCACCACCTGCATGAGGCCGATGCCGAGCTCCTCCCGCCCCTGCCCGGCCACCTCCATGGAGGGTTCCAGATCCCCAACCCCCAAAACCCCCCAGCACCCCCTCCAAATCCCCCCAAACCCCCCCAAACCCCCCCGTACTCAGCCAGGGGCGCTCCCAGCAGCGACCCCGCTCTCCACCACCTGCATGAGGCCGATGCCGAGCTCCTCCCGCCCTGCCCGGCCACCTCCATGGTGGGTTCCAGATCCCCAAACCCCCAAATCCCCCAAGCCCCCAAACCCCCGTCACCAGCCAGGGGCGCTCCCAGCAATGACCCCGCGCTCTCCACCACCTGCATGAGGCCGATGCCGAGCTCCTCCCGGCCCTGCCCGGCCACCTCCGCCGCGCCGGCGAACTGCAGCGGCGCCACGGCCCCGGCGCAGCCCCCGTAGGCGGCCGCCAGCGCCGCCAGCCCCCCGGGACCCCCGGCCAGCGGCAGCATCAGCGCCAGCACCCCCGCCAGCGCCGCCCAGCCCCGCAGGTGCCACAGCAGCGGCGCCGAGGCCGGCCGGGCCGCCAGCCAGCCCGCCAGCAGCCTCCCGGCGCCGTCGGCCACCGCCATGGCCGCCAGCACCGCGCCCGCCGCGCGGGGGCCGCCGCCCAGCTCGTGGGCACGCGCCGCGCCGTGCACGAAGGGCACGTAGTAGCCGGCGTCCAGCAGGGCGAAGGAGGCGGCGAAGCGCAGGAAAGGGCCGTGCCGGAGCAGAGCCAAGAGCGCTGGGGGTTCCTCATGGGTGGGTTTGGTGGTGGTGGTGACGGTGGGGATGGAAGGTGGGGGTCGAAGCAGCGCGGCGGCCGCCACCAGGTTGAGGGAGACGGCGGCCAGGAGGAGGAGGGCGCCGCGCCAGCCGTACCGCTCCAGGGCCAGCGGCACCAGCGGCCCCAGCGCCAGCCCCGAGGCGGCGGCGCCCGACACGGCCAGGCCCGTGGCCAAGGGGCGGTGGGAGGGGAACCAGCGGGACACGGCGCCCAGGGACGGGGTGAACACCAGCGCCCAGCCCAGCCCTGGGGGGACACCAAGTGAGGTGGGGTCGGTCTGTGGGGTGTGGTAATGGGGGTTGGGTGAGATGGAGGGGGGTTCTAGGTCACCCAGTGGGTGGGGTGGGCTGGGATGTCCCATGGGGTGTTCTAGGTCACCCAATGGGTTGGGGTGGGCTGGGATGTGGTACTGGGTGTTCCAGGTCACCCAATGGGTGGGGTGGGCTGGGATGTCCCATGGGGGGTTCTAGGTCACTCAATAGGTTGGGGTGGTCTGGGATGTCCTATAGGGTGTTCTAGGTCAGCTACTGGTTTGGGGTGGTCTAGGGATGTCCTATGGGGTGTTCCAGGTCACCCAATGGGTGGTCTAGGGGTCCCTATTGGGTGTTCTAGGTCACCCAATGGGTGAGGTGGTCTGGGATGTCCTATTGGGTGTTTTAGGTCATCCAATGGGTTGGGGTGGTCTGGGATGTCCCATGGGGTGTTCTAGGTCACCCAATGGGTGGTCTAGGGGTCCCTATTGGGTGTTCCAGGTCACCCAATGAGGTTGGGGTGGTCAGGGATGTCCTATGGGGTGTTCTAGGTCACCCAATGGGTGTGGGTGGGCTGGGATGTCCCATGGGGTATTCTAGGCCAGCCAATGAGTGGGGTACTCTTGAATGTCCTATTGGGGTGTTCTAGGTCACCCACTGGGTTGGGGTGGTCAGGGATGTCCTATGGGGTGTTCCAGGTCACCCAATGGGTGTGGGTGGGCTGGGATGTCCTATTGGGATGTTCTAGGTCACCCAATGAGGTTGGGGTGGTCTGGGATGTCCCATGGGGTGTTCTAGGTCACCCAATGGGTGGGGGTGGGCTGGGATGTCCCATGGGGGGTTCTAGGTCACCAAATGGGTTGGGGTGGGCTGGGATGTCCTATGGGGTGTTCTAGGTCACCCAATGGGTTGGGGGTGGGCTGGGATGTCCCATGGGGGTTCTAGGCCAGCCAGTGGGTGGGGTGGGCTGGGATGTGGTACTGGGTGTTCCAGGTCACCCAATGGGTGGTCTAGGGGTCCCTATTGGGTGTTCCAGGTCACCCAATGGGTTGGGGTGGTCTGGAATGTCCCAGGGGGTGTTCTAGGTCACCCAATGCAGGGGTGGGCTGGGATGTCCCATGGGGGTTCTAGGCCAGCCAGTGGGTGGGGTGGGCTGGGATGTCCCAGGGGTGTTCTAGGTCACCCAATGGGTTGGGGTGGGCTGGGATGTGGTACTGGGTGTTCCAGGTCACCCAATGGGTGGTCTAGGGGTCCCTATTGGGTGTTCCAGGTCAGCCATCGGGTTGGGGGTGGGCTGGGATGTCCCATGTGGGGGTT